AAGTCTCTCCCTGCCACCACCTCCTCTGGGCCTTCCGGAGAGGGAGGTGCCGACTCAGCCTCTATCCCCCTCACCCAGCAGGATTCCTCAGCCATGCCACAGCTTCCTCCACGAAAGCTCTCAGTTCTGACCAACCAAGAGACAAAGCTACACCTCACAACTGGGCGGCACCCCAGCCTGACCCTCGGAGCCATCCCACAGGCCTCGTGGGCGTCCCTGTGGACCAGGGCTATGCCGAGAGGCTGGGCCAGGGATAGAAATGATTTGTGGCTCTGCCCTGTCCAGTCCACATGAGTGGCAGCCTCAGAGTCAGGCAGCAGAGGGGAAAGATGGGGGGTACAAGCACGTGCAGACACAGTACAGGCACAGAAGCACCGGCCTGCCTCAAAAGTCACGAAGTCTGAAGCAGAATGTCCTCCTTGACTCTTCTGCTCCTCATTTGTCCAGCCCCTGCTCACACCTCTGATGATGGAGAGTTCACTACCTTTCTAAGATAATGCTTCCATTCATGGCCCAGCCTGGCTGCTTCTGAAAGCCATATGTTGCACTCAAGCCATAATCTGCCTCCTGTAGCTTCCTTTAAGCAGCCCCAGCTCTGCCTCCAGAGGCCACAGAGAGCTCACCTGTTGCTGTAGAACAGTTCATCCGAGACTTGGACATAGTGGCTGTATCCCCAAGTCTGGTCTTGGAGGCAGACATTAGAACCCTAGAATTTCTAGACTGAAAGAGTCCTTGCCAATCCACTGGTCTAATAATATTCTAAATTGTTTGTTTGTCTTTGCTACAGAACTCTACTCAGAGCTTTCTATGGAAGCCCAAAATACCAGACAGAAGCACCCTTGACTGAGGAGACTAGAGGTCCCTCCACTTACCCTGGTTACTAATTGTGAACCCTCTAAATGAATGTGACTGATCCACCCTACCAAAGAGCACATATTGAGCACCTACTGTGTGCCAAGCATTTGTATTAGAGCCGTGTTGTCCAACACAGCAGCCACTAGTCCTATGTAGCCACTGTACACTTGAAATGTGTCCAGTACAATCCAGGAACTAATTTCTTTATTTCATTTGATTTTAATTTAAACTTTAAAATAGAAGCAGTGTAAAATATTTTTCCCACTAAATACAACTTTAACTGTCAAACGTTTAGCATCCAAATTGAGATGCACTGTACATGTAAAATACACATCTGGTTTCAAAGACTTGGCACCAAAAATAAGAGAAAACCTAGCTTCAATTTTTTTATATTGATGTTATGTTGAAATGATGATATTTTGGGTATACTGGATTAAATAGAATATGTTATTAAAATTAGTTCCACTTGTTTCATTTTATACTTTTTAATGTGGTTACTAGATCATTTAAAATTACACATGTGGCTTGTGTTCTACTTCTATTGGGTAGTACAGGGCTAGTCACTTTCATGTTGCCTTTATATCTGAAACACTCAGCACAGTAAATGTTTCTTGAGTATCTAAGACACACAGCTCAAAACCATCTCCCTAATGCTTCTAGACTAAATGTTCAGAAGCCTCGGTCAACATCTAAGCCACCACATCTTTCTACCTCTCTGCCTTTCCAAATCCTGCCATGCGGGTCCTCTCCCTGCACAGGCTCACCATAATCCCAGACTTGGGACAGTCTCTCTTGCCTTTAACTGGAATGTCCTCTCCTCCCTCTACCCAGCCACCTCCTATAAGGAGCCCTCCCAGATCCTTTCAGTCAAAACTGGCCCTCCTTGCCTTACCCTTTCCCCTGGTGTCACTTCATCCACTGCCGTGCTCATCAGAGGGCTTTGAGCTTGCCAGTCTTGCTCCCCAGCTCACCCTCTGTGTTTGGATCCTATCACCTGCTCACCTCTGTCGAGATCTGGGCAGGAGGGTGGCCCCAGGAAATGCCCTCAGGGCAAAACTCAATTCCAAGCTGGGGATGACTATGAACCAGGCAGCAGAGTAAGCAACTCCACCTTGCAAAGCCTCCGTCACCTCATCTGAAAAATGGGCAAGGACCCTCAGCTGTCTTCCTCTTAGCTCTCCAACACCTCTCTCACCCCATGATCTTCTCTCAGGCTGCTGATGGTACCACCTCAGAGGCCAGCACCCTCACAAATCCATGGTTTGCAGCCTCCGTGGACTGACCGGCCAGCGTGCCTGCAATGTCCCTGTTTCCCCAGTGGCTGGTTCTTACTTTCTCTGCTCTCCCCCAACCACTGGCCTCAGGTCTCACTTCTCTTTCTGCAGCATCCAACCTGCTAATCATGCCCTTCTGTTTGAAAATCTTTCCCACACCAGCCCCAGGCTCTGCCCAGTCCCAGGCTGCTCCACCTCCAAAGGTCCTCTCCAGAAGGACTAAGGTGCAACAGGTAGCTGGAAAATACCAGGGAACTGAGGCCCTAGGGGCACTGCAGTTCCTCCCGACTCACCAGTCCATGCCAGCTGTATGACTGTGGAGCCTCCATCACCTCCCCTAGTAACATGGAAGTGACAGTCACTAGAGCTTCTGCAGGGATCCAGAGAGATACAGAGAGAGGATGGGAAAGATCAGAAGGAGGCACTTATGCAATACCCCCACAGACACTTCCCTGGTGTGAGCCAGACCATTGCTGTCCACGCCTGGGATCAAACGTGCACACTGTCAGCGGTGTGGGCAGCAGCGAGCAGGAGGCTCTGGTTGCTGCTTGGGTTCATCCCCCACTCTTTCCATGCCATCAAGCTTCCAGGACCATCAAGTCATTCTCCCTTCCACCGCAGACCACTGACTGAACTGCCTCCCATCTTCCTGAGGATCAGGACTCTTCCATATATATCAGATGTGGAGAGTTCAAAGATTACCCAGGCCGGGAACACTGGCTCATGCCTGAAATCCCAGCACTTTGGGAGGCCTAGGCAGGTGGATCACTTGAGTCAGGAGTTTGAGACCAGCCTGGGCAACAGAGCAAAAACTCATCTCCATTTATTAAGGGAAAAAAATGTAATTTAAAAACTAAAAATTGTCATCCAATACCACCTCTGATTCTTGATACTCTGTATGGCAGCCCAACAAGTGGTCACTTCGTCTCTGCATACATATCCCCAGAGATAGGGCATCATTCCCTCTGGAGGCATCCCCTTTTATCCCTAGGCCACTCTCATATGTGCAACTTGGTTCTTTCTTAAACTGAGGTAAAATCACCTCTGCATCTGCTGCACACTTTAAGGCCATGCAACAAGATCTCATTCCTTCCTCCTTCCTTGTCAGCCCTCCAAACACTTGAAAGCAGCAATCCAGTTTTGTTTATTCTGCTCTTCTTTGTGCCAAAATATCCCTAGAGCCTTGAGGCGTTCCCAGGTGTTGTATCAGATCCCTCTTCAGTTAGGACCCAGCCCTATTTTTCACTATCCCTCTTAAAAGTCAATATACCCAAATGGGCCACAGTCCTCTGGGAATGATCTGAGTAGTACAGAGTGGTCAACACCAACACCACCCACATTCGGACCACACTATACCTCATAAAGGAGCTCGTGGGCCCAAACCATGACTGCTGGTCAGACTGCCAGCCAATACAGCACCCCGAAAACAAAGTAAAACAACGCCCTCAGGCCAGAACTGTCTGTTTGGTGGTAAACATTAAACTAGATTTTTTCTTTCCCGAAAATCACTGCCTGGATCCCTCAGCCTCTAGGGGAGCCTCACACAATCTGTCCTTCTACCCAGGAACAAATACAGCCAGGCCCCAGCTTAGGCACATCTGCTGCGAGTCCAGGTGACAATGGGAGAAAAGATGACACCACTAGCCTCATAAACAAACAGCAATGGCAGGCCCACTGCCTCCTGCAGCACACAGCACCACAACCTACTGAGTTAAAGACTTCTGACATCTGTTCAGGAGCGGCAGGAGGAGGAGAGGCGAGGCAGGTTCCAAAAGCCGTGAATCATCCCCACGCACCCCCATGGCTCCAGACTGAGGCCACCGGCTCGGCTTCTGGGCTGCTGGCAACACGCAGACCACAAGCCAACCCACGGCTAGGCTGACTCAATTTTCTAGTTACAGATCTTAAGTACTTAGGCATGTGCTCACGAGAACACACATTCCTTACATGGAGCTGAGAAAGGGAATTGTGCCGGGGAGCAGAATAATTGAATCAAGATTTCTGTCACGCTGCTCTCAGGCCCTAGACCACAGCCCTGGTTTTTTTTTTTTTTTTTTTTTTTTTTTCCTGACTAAGGTTTTACAGACTCCCAGGGGGTCTTTTCTCTCAAACCCATTAATGTCAGCCAGTGCTGGCAGCCCATCCAGAGGAAAGGAGTCCCGGTTAAGGTGCCCGGTGTCCAGGATGGAGGTGGCCGGCTCTGGAGACCCAGGCAGCACACGGCTGGTAGAGGGGCTGAGAAAAACCAACCGGGAAGATTGTCATCTTTGTAATCCCCCCAACACCCCCGCACTCCTTCCCTCCAGACCCAAGGGCAAGGATGAGATGATTATTAATTTCCTCCACACCGCCCCCCAACACCATCACCAGGGCTGAAAGCCTTCTCTGCTGAGGCGTGTGCAGGCCTTTCAGAGAACCCACTCCTCCACCCTCCCCAAGCGTGCCCCTGTCCGGGCTTTGCCCAGCCCCCTCTCTCTGGTCCAAAGCTCCTCCACAAAGGGGACTTGGGTGTGGAGCCCAGCACACGCTGCCCTCGGGCCGCATTATCTGCACACACACACAGGGTCTTCTTAAAGGCCAAAGCTCAAGCCACAAGGGCTCTGCCAGGCCCGCTTCTTCTACCCAACGGGTGACCATGGTGGCCGCCAGCAAGAATGTCACAGTCGCACCCTGCTGCTGTCTACCTGGCGGAGGGAGGGCTCAGCTCCTTCAAGTGTTCACGAAAGGGACAGCGTGCGGGCTTGGGGACTCGCTCCTCTGCAGGTAAGGGAGGTGCTCGCGGACACCTCTGCTACCACCCGCGACTGACTGAGCGCCGAAAACTGACCCCGTGGGGCGCATTCCCGATGGGGCTGCAGGGGCGTCTCTTACCTTCGTCTCTCTTGCGCTTGTTGGTGTCGGCGCTGGGGGACGTGATGCCCAGGATGCCGCTGATGGAGTACGACGAGCCGGCCGAGTCGGTGCTCACCGAGGACACCTGCGTCACGGAGCCCGTGGACACTGCGCGGAGAAAGACGGGTGGTTAGGACCGCAGACAGCCGAGGGCGGCGGGCCGGCTAACACCGCACGCGGGGCTGTGGGCAGCTGGGAGTGAGCGAGTGCGGGGGCCCGGGGTGGGCGCTGAGGACCCTCGCCCTACACAGGCGTCCACACCTGGGCCACGAGCGCGGGCCTCGGGCGGGCGGTTTGCCCCGTTCTCTGCGCTGTGAGGAGTAAGAGAGGGGTGAGTACTGAGGAGGACTGACCCCGGCAGAAAGGAACATGGGGACAGGAAGGGCGCTGGCTCAAATCCCAACCTATCCTTGGATGCAGGTAGCAGGGGATGGAGAGGAGAAAGAGGCGAGCCGGGGCCCACCAACAGCCAGTGCTAAAAAAAAAAAAAAAAAAAACCCGAATTACTCATTAGGCAGTTCACTACCTGCCTGCATACCCAGCCGTGAGTGCAAACACAACTACTTGAGCACAAACTCACAGGCACAACTAACAAACTGCAAACCGCAGAGTGCACCTTCTTTTCAGTTTCTCTCTGTGTTTTCTTCTTCCAGTTTCCTGGGATTTGATTTTTCGTATTAATTATGACAATAACGATAACTAACTTTTTCTGAGAACTTACTCTGTGTCAGCATTGAGGCATTATCTCATTGAATTCTGAGAACAATCTTAGAAGCTAGGTAATTGTGATGATCCCGTTGGAAAAGGAAGGGAAGGGGAACCCAAAGATGAATGGCTCACCCAGGATCACACAGCTAGTAAGAGAGTGCCTGGGCTGGGGCTCATGCCTGTAATCCCAGCACTCTGGGGCAGAGGTGGGAGGATCACTTGAGCTCAGGAGTTCAAGACCAGCCTGGCCAACATAGTGAGACCTATCAAAAACTTTTTTAAAAATTAGCCAGACGTGGTAGCACAAGCCTATAGTCCCAGCTACTCAGGAGGCTGAGGCAGGAGAATCACTTGAGCCCAGGAGGTCAAGGTTGCAGTGAGCTATGATTGTGCCACTGCACTCCAGCCTGGGCAACAGAGCAAGACTCTGTCTCAAAAAATAAAAATTTAAAAGGCCAGGCACCGTGGCTGATGCCTGTAATCCCAGCACTTTGGGAGGCCAAGGCAGATGGATCACCTGAGGTCGGGAGTTCAAGACCAGCCTGACCAAATTGGAGAAACCCCATCTCTACTAAAAATACAAAATTAGCCAGGTGTGGTGGTGCATACCTGTAATCCCAGCTACTCAGGAGGCTGAGGCAGGAGAATCACTTGAACCCAGGAGGCAGAGGTTGCAGTGAGCTGAGATCGCACCATTGCACTCCAGCCTGGGCAACAAGAGTGAAACTCCATCTTAAAAAAAGCAAAATAATAATAATAAATAAAATAATTAAAAAAAACAAAAAAGAAAATAAAAAAAGAAACTCCATCTTAAATAAATAATTAATTTAAAAAAAAAGAGGGAGACTGGTGATTTAAACCCAGAGACTAAAGCCTTAACCCCTGTAACTAATCTGCTTCTCACTAATAAATAATGAAGAGCAATAATATACTTCACATGAATGCGGTGCTTTGATTGCAACAGCCCAGAGTGCTATTACTTATCCCCATTTATCAAATGAGGAAACTAAGGGTCCACAGGGAAAGTGATTCAAAGTCATCTAGCCAATAAACAGCGACGCCAGAACTCAGCCTTGGGTTTACTTGCTTAAAGTCTAGATTTCCTCTGCCCAGAAACAGGGGCAGTGGTTGGTGACTTATTGTGACTGAGGCCAGGTCTCAAAGTTCCTAAGAATAAGAATTGGATGGATGCAGGGGATGTGCAACTTTTGTGCAAGTTTCACATTGACTTCTGGTCCCAGGATCCTAGGAATAGACCAGTCCATCAGCAGGGGCCTCTCCAGCTGTACGGCTGAATTGCCACTGAGGGCTGTGGGAATTCTTTCTTGGTTCATTAAAACCTACAGACCAATCTCAGACACACTTCCGTGGGCTATAACCAGCTGGAGGCAGGTGGAGCCACCTTTGACTCTTAAGTGTAGGAAATTACTAGAAATGGTGGTGACTGCCTGAGAAGCCCTTCATGGCTTCCCTTTGGGTCAGATCCAGCTCCTGGCTCCTACAAACCCAGAGGGAACCATGCCTTTCTTCTCACATTTCAGTTTGACCTTACATCTTCCTTAAGAGACACAGAAGCAGAAATAGTTAACTTCTCTTTTTCTTCACCAGAAAAAGCTCCTTAAAATAGATTTATGCAAATCCCATAACCTTTTCTGTATTAACGTGTAAGAAACAGAGGAAGAAAGAAGATCCCAGGTCACCTGGTGCTTTAAACAACAACCACCATGTATAACCAAGGCTCACCATGTTGCTGACAGAGCCCATGACATGCGTTTTGGTGTTCTGTGATTGCTCTAGGCTCAAAAGACCCAGATTCCACTTCTGGCTCCACCACTTCCTAGCAACATGACCTAGGGCTAGTTATTTCATCTCTCTAAGTTTCAGTTTCCTCACGCCTAGATAAGTTTGTGAACTCTAAGAGGCTATATGTATGTGAGATGTAGTTTTAACTTAAAAATTTCTGGGACAAAACAAAGCATTCTGCTGACCTACAATAGAATTATCCCTCTAAACCAATTGAAAGAATATTAGCAGTTACACCTAGTTTGATTTTCAGGGCTATGTGACCTGAAATAATTGGTCAACTGCAAGTGAAATCTCAGCCACAAACATTCCCCCAGGAAGCCTTCCTTCACCCTCTTCATCCTAGCCCAGCAGAGCTGCTGGTTCCTTCCCTTCTGCCCCCACAGCACCCATCCCTTCTTCTGGAGCTTCATCTCTGTTTTGCAAACTTCTCTTCATTATGTTCCCGCTTTAGACCTAGAAGCCCTTGAGAATGGGGATTGTGTCTTCCCTTTCTTGTGGGCTTGGCCTCTGACGCTAAAGTCTGCACAGCAGGGACTTAACAGACACTTTCTGAAGGGATTACCAAATGAGGAATGATTTCCTGGCAGGGAGGAAATCTGTCTTACTTTATCCAAAACCATGGAGGAGCAGAGTCCTCAGAGAACACCTGGTTAGTGCCCCTCCATCCATAAATGAGGAAACAGAGACTCAGGGAGGTGAGAGGAGTTTCGCATTTTACTGAGTGAGTTAATGACAGAGTAGGAACTAGAGGCCAGGCCTCTGCCCGATCCCCATCACTGTGTGAGTTCAAGTTCTCGTTTAAAGAAGGAGTAACAAAGTGTGGAAATGTCACACAATCTGAGGTGTGATTCTGCAGGATTGACTGTGGCAACCAGAAGTGTCAGAGACTTTCTGAATCATTGCCCACTTTCTTACAGTAGAATAACCTTCCCCTCAGCTAACCAGAGGTGTTTCCTATATCCCAAGTGGAGAAATAATACACCTTAAATAGACAGTGTCCTTTCACAATCTTTGAAGGGAAGACAAAGGACATTTCTGAACTCTTGAGAACTAGGAAGTATGGCTCCCACTTTCGGGTCACGGCCACTCTCAGACTTCACGTGCGAGTGCCGGAAACCCCACCGGGAGCCCTTGACAGTTCAGAGTACGTGAGATCGAAGCAAGAGAGAGAGAAAGTAAGTTTGAGAACTTTTGCCACATCTTCACTCAAGACTGCAAGTGCACAAAGAATTGTAGAAGGGCTGGTTGATAGAAGAAAAAAACACATTCAAAACTACTTACTGACTAATGATGCAGAAAATGTTATGAATAAGTATCCCTTTCTTGATTTATTACTTTAATTATCTGACATTCTATAGACCCCCATTAGTGGATTTTTTTTTTTGGGGCTTAGATTTCAATTTTCTGTCTCATGGTGAAAGCTATTTATCATAATAATCAGTAAAATTCAAAACCTTTTAGCAGTATTTATAAAATTCATTTACCAGGTTCAGCCCTTGGAGAATGACAAAGAAGGCGCATTAGTACGTGTGCTGAAGTGTTTTATGCAGAATTATCTGTCCATAAGAATGATTAAAAGTTCTTTAGAATATTTGGAGCCCATTAGATTTTTAAATTTTTTTAAAAAGTTCTTCTTACCTATGCTGTGACTGGAAGCTGGGACTGGTTGGTTGGGTGGCTGCTGTACTTTTGTCCGGATGATCCTGTGGGCAGTTGAAAAAAAAAAATGGCTATTTACCATCAGGAAGGAGAAGAGACCTCAACCAGCTATGCACAGATAACCAGAAACCAGAAAACTCATACCCAAGCTGGGCCATGGATGGAGCTGAGGCAAAGCGGCAGAGGTGGAGGGAGATTATAAACCCAGGCTGGGAATCAGGAGGGTGGAAGATTTATGGACTAGTCCCAACTTTGCTTCTATTTCCCTGGGTGTCTTAATGTAATTTGCGCCCCCTCTCTGGGATTCAAGTGCCTCTTCTGAAGAAAGAGGATGACATGTTAACATTACGAGTAGGCATCCCTTTCTTGGGTATAGCTTTAGCTCCATAAGAGACTCATTGAGTGACTTTAAGGAGTCCTTCCTTTCCCTAGACCTCAGCCTCCCATCTGTCAAATGAAGAAACTGAACCAGGTAACCCCTCTGTCCTCTGGCAGTGCTCACATGCTGGTTTCTCTGCCCTAGAGAACGTACAAGGAGGGATAACACCCCTTCCCCTAGGAAGTCAAGGGAGGGGATGTATGTGTTGTTCTGATACTAGGGAGAGTCAAAGCGCTGCCAGGAGACATCTGATTTGGCTATGCTAAAAGAAAGCCTACCTTGCACCAAACCTCATGGAAAAGATCCACAGAGCTAGAGCCAGGGGTATCCTTGACTGTCTTTTCAGAGACCTTGCTCATATTCTAATAGAAACTCCACTGTGACCTTGACCAGGTCCATTCCATTGTGGACCTCAGTACAATGATGGAGTTGGAACAGACTACTATTTGCTTATTTTAAGTAATCAAATCATTTTCAGAAGAGAAAAAAGATCTTATGGAAAAGCCCCATACTTAAAAGAGATAATCGCAGTACTGCCTTCCCTTGGCCGCCTGGCCGCTCTGACGTCCTTCTCCAGAACCTTAGGCTCTGGGGAGTTTGTAGACAATGCGTGTGCAAGACCACAAGCCCAGAGCATCTGAGAGCAGCAGAACAGGGCGGTGCCAAAAGCTCCTCGGGAACTACCAGGAAGTGACTTCCTTGGTATTTGGGAGAAGAGTGGGTCACAATAAAATGTCCAGCTTCTTTGGAAAAGTTATATTCCAGTTTCGAACTATTACCTTTTGAAAGGACATTTATTAGAGTTTTTCCTCATTATAAAAGTAATATGCATTCATTGTAGACTCTGTGGACAGCATGGGAAAACATAAAGAAGACATCTAAAAACCATATTTTGGTGTATTTCCTTTATACTAACATTCCTGTGCATACTTAGAAATATCCATTTTTCTCTGAACAAAGTCAGGATTATACCATGTATACAGTTTTTGTTGTTGTTGTTGTTGTTGTTTTGAGATGGAGTCTCTGTTGCCCAGGCTGGAATGCAGTGATGTGATTTCAGCTCACTGCAACCTTCGCCTCCCCGGTTCAAGTGATTCTCCTGCCTCAGCCTCCCGAGTAGCTGGGATTACAGGCACATGCCACCACGGCCAGCTAATTTTTGCATTTTTAGTAGAGACGGGGTTTCACCATGTTAGCTACGCTGGTCTCAAACTCCTGACCTCAAGCGGTCTGCCTGCCTTGACTTCCCAAAGTGCTGGGATTACAGGCGTGAGCCATGGTGCCCAGCCTCCATGTATACGGTTTTGCATCCTACTCTTAAGCATTCTATGAGAAGCTTTTTCACATTCCAGAGCATTAATATCTGAAAGTTCATTCTGAGGCTGCACTGGGTCTCCAGCTTATACAAATGAAGGACAGAAGTAGCAGGTGGGTGACTCCCCTTAAATCTAATGGGCCGTAGCTTCTGCCTTCTCTGATCTTACAGCTTGGTGCTGGGCACCAAGGGCACTCCATGTCCTCAGCTGATAGCCTGAAGGGACTTTTCTGTTCACCCTACAGTCTCACCAGACACACAGGCTGTATGGAGCCTGACTAGTTGAACTCAGCAAGGGGCCTCTTGCCCTTTTCTAATCAGTCAGCTTAAGTGTTCCGTCAAATACATTCAGATTGTTTGTTTTCCCTAATATTCAATCCACTTATTTTCACTAAGCAAACTCAAAGCATATTGGACAAGGATCTGGGAGTGAGGTAGTCTTTTTGGTCACCTGGAATTAAGCTGGCATCTGATCTAATGTTTATATTTTTGTGTATGTCACCTTCTCTGTGTATATGTGTCTACAGAGAGATTTCTGGATATGTCAATATATGGATATAACAGACATAAATATAGTTATATATAAATACATGGCAAGAAAATCACTATAGTTCAGCTTAAAATCCTTACTTTTCAAATCATTATCTGGCCATTAAATTTGTACATAAGCAAAGCAAAGAAACTTATGTTTTCCTCATTTTCTTTTAAAATAGTTGTAAATATCACTGGGAAAGCACTATCGATTGTTAGAAATCATTAAGAGGCAACAGCAGCACCGTGTACAGGCTCTGGAACTAGACTTCCAGAGTTTGAATCCCATCCCTCTTGCAACTTGCCAGCTACATGACCTTGGGTAAATTACTTAACCTCTATGCCTCAGTCTCTTCATCTGCAAATGGGACTAAGAATCATTCCTATCCTGTAGGGTTACTATTAGGATTAAATTAATTAAGTACTTAAAACAGTGGCTGCTACATAGTAGTGCTCCACAAATGTAAGATGTTATTTTCAGTGGTGTCTTCATAAAGATTAATGACTAGCTTCAATCCTAAAATGTTCATATTTTTCACATTTGCTTTAAAAAGCACAAGGTGAGGATGGGTGGAGGGGTGGTGAAGATGCTCAATGGGTACAAAAAAAATTAGAAAGACTGAATAAGACCTAGTATTTGATAGCACAATGAGGGGACTACAGTTAGCAATAATTTAACTATGCATTTAAAAATAACTAAAGAGTGTAATTGGGTTGTTTGTAAGACAAAGGATAAATGTTTGAGGGGATGAATACCCCATTTTCCATGGTGTGATTCCTACTCATTGCATACCTGTACCAAAATATCTCATGGACCATATATATATATATATATATATATATGTATGTATATATATACACACACACACTATGTGCCCACAAAAATTAAAAATAAAATAATAATAAAACACAGGTGATCCCCTTGGAAGCTGGGGAGGGAAGGTAGCCATTCTCACACTCTGTTTTAAGGCTGCAGTAGGGCTGTCCTTTATGGGGGATCTCAGAGTTAAAGGGAAGCTTCTGAAGCCATCCCCAGGGGTGAGAGATTTTGCTCATCTGCCTTTAGCAGTCACCAAGTAAAAACAGAGAGCATCAGCTTCCACTGAGAAGAAACTGTAGTGGGAAGAACAAGGCTATAATTGAATCATAGCAACTCTAAACAAATTTAAAATGTAAAAAATGACAGGCTGTCAAGACTCATCCAATAAGAGCACACTCAGGACCTTTTCTAAGCCAGAGATGGTTGGACTGAGTTGGCAGTCACACCAAACTGCACGTCCTTTAACCTGCTGCGTGTGAGCAGGACCCTAGCTGCCGTACTGCAGAGCACACTAGATAGTCCAACAGAGGAGGGAGCTCACATCAAACTCTTCCTATGGATGAGAAAACTAAAGCCCAAGATGTTCAAATGACTTGCCCAGGGTTGTACAGCGAGTCAGCCCAGGCTTCCAGCTCCCATGTCCAAGCACTTTACTTTGAGCCACATTCAAAGGAAGCTCAGTCCCTCTGTTAAATACTTCCTATGTGAGGCATAAAGGCTATTTGGATTAAAAATCCACTTAGGATCTGAGGTTTAAAACTCTGAGGGACTTTGTGGCATTTAAGGATCCCATAGAAACATCACTCTTCCTTCTTTGAAAGGCTAGGCTTCTTACCATCATCCCACGCCCCCCACCCCACCACCCCACCACCAGTCCTCACAAAATTACAGTGAAAAAGAAAATAATGGTGCCTTGAAAAAGGAAACAGGGGGATAAGGCTGAAGAAACACCTGCATCTATGGCACTGATCAAACTGCCATCAGTACAGTAAGAAGCTTGGACCATCAGCTGTGCCAAGAATCCAAAAGCCAGGGATCCAACTGTGCCAAGCTGGGAGGGGGCCCACAGGTGGCACCCAGGCCTGTGACTGTTGTGGAGAAGAAAGAGGACATGGATAGAGGTTGATGTGAGTGGATCGCTTGAGTCTAGGAGTTCAAGACCAGCCTGGGCAACATGATGAAATGCCATTTCTACAAAAAACTAGCCAGGCATGGTGATGGCATCTGTAGTCCTAGCTACTTGGAAAGCTGAGGTAGGAAGATCACCCAAGTCTGGGAGATCAAGGCTGCAGTGAGCTGTGATCATGCCTCTGCATTCCAGCCTGGGTGACAGAGTGAGACCCTGTCCCAAAAAAAAACAAAAACAAAAACAAAAAAAGAAAGAGGGAATTGATAAACAATCTCAGAAGGCCTGCCATCAAAATTAGAATTAAGAGTAGAGCTAACAAAACATCTTCCCCAGGTCACCTCCAGGTCTGGACAAGTTTTGCTTACCCTGCAGAGTATGTTTGTTTTTATTTGAATTAGTTTCTAATATTTTTAAGTTGGGAGATTTTTCATAAACATCTGATTTCTAGTTTCTCTTGAAAAATCAGAACACCCAGCAATACTGGCCCCACATCTCACAAGACCCAACCAGTTGGTGCTAAATAGAGCTGCCCCCTAAACTGGGAGTGCCACCTGTAGTCCCCACCCCTTGGCCACCGTGCTGGAATAGAAGGAAGATCCACCCACTGTTTGGGTCAGCTTTGGGATGGCCACCTCCAGCGGACACTCAGACTGGATTCCAACAATCCCTCATGCAGGTTGTGCAGGCTCCCAGCACATGTTTGTCCATAAGATGTCAAATGAACAATGTGATTTGTGTCCCAGGAAATCCTCCACAAGCCTAACAGAACTAGTTCAGTGTTGCTTCACCCTTTGTCAGTCATGGTTTCCTAGGTTGGTCCCCTGGAAGGAAGCAGAAAGGCACACACTCCTAGGGGTGGACAGTGGAGACGCCCTTATGGCTACTAGACTAGCCACACATCCAGCCAGCACTCCCTCCCCAGCTGTTTAAAATCGGGAAGAGTGAAGAGTTGCCTCGATGGGAGGCAGGGGCTGGGAAAGCGGTGGACCCTCTTACACAGTGTCATTTGCCAGGCAGGCATTTAGAAGTTGCATTCATTTGAATGCAGTGGGAGCTTTGCCTTCATCTGAAAAATAAAACCGTGTGGTGGGATGGCTCTGGCTTTGGGGGATTGGGGGTGGGGAAGGCAGCAGCAACAGATTGTCCTACACTTAGTGAGCTGTCACTGAAGAGTGCAGGGAGGAGCCGGAGAGTACTCGCAAACAGGAGCCCCCAGAGAGGAGCACTGGAGAGGGCTAAGGAGGAGAGAGGGCAGGCAGCCAGGTAGCAGAACAGGCAGCCTGCGAGGATCTGAAATGGAGAAGGAAAGACTTTTCCTCCTCCTTGTCTCTCGTCTCACAGATCCTCAGTTCTGTCACTTGCAGAGTCCGACAGTGCAGTGGTAGAAAGAAACTAGCCCTCCTCTTATCATTGGGAGACCTGGGTTCTACCCCCATGTCTATCTCCAAGTCACTGTTCCTCTGTACTCCCCATCTGGGCCTCTGCTGCTACACCTGCCACAGGTTACAGTCAAGCCTTAAAGACTATAGGAGACCACAGACGTGAAAGCACCTTAGAGGCATGGCCTGCCTGGCCACGGCTTTGGACTGAACACCCAGGATGCCCCTGAGGCTAGCCATGGCCCTGAAGCCAGCAGTTAGAACCTCCCCACAGCACGGCTCCAGGCAGAAAGCATCAGTGGGTCCGTGATCTGCCTCGGCCACACATCGCATGCCCCTTCCCAGCCTTTGCCACATCTATAACCACTGCTCTATTTGCCGCGAACATTTCTTTCACATCACTTCATTTTTTACTTAAATAAATTTATTGTATAAGGCGATTGTAGTTTCCTACTGTAAGTGGGTAGGTGGGAGTGTTGGGGGGAGCTCACAAAGTTCACAAACTCACTAGTTTGGTGTGCTACTTCTATTTTTCTAAAATACATTAAAATAAATGTATTACAAAACAGTGTGCATCCTTGCATTGTAAAGGACATAAACCGATGCTCTGTAAAAAAGTTACGCTTGTCCTGCAAGGCATTTTTAATTGAAATTAGTTGCCTCCATTAAGAAATATAAAGATTAGGCCAGGCGCGGTGGCTCACGCCTGTAATCCCAGCACTTTGGGAGGCCGAGGCGGGTGGATCACGAGGTCAAGAGATCGAGACCATCCTGGTCAACATGGTGAAACCCCGTCTCTACTAAAAATACAAAAAATTAGCTGGGCATGGTGGTGCGTGCCTGTAATCCCAGCTACTCAGGAGGCTGAGGCAGGAGAATTGCTTGAACCCAGGAGGCGGAGGTTGCGGTGAGCCGAGATCGTGCCATTGCACTCCAGCCTGGGTAACATAAGTGAAACTCCGTCTCAAAAAAAAAAAAAAAAAAGAAATATAAAGATTAAGCTAGGCGCAGTGGCTCACACCTGTAATTCCAGCACTTTGGGAAGCTGAGGTAGAAGGATTGCTTGAGCCCAGGAGTTTGAGACCAGCCTGGGCAACACAGGGAGACCCCATCTTTACCAAAAAAATTTTTTTAATTTAAATATATAGATTTCACATACAGAAATACACATACATACATCTACACAAGCCCCAGCTTCTGCCTTCTCTTGAAGAATGCAAAAAAAAAAAAAAAAAAAAAACTGGCAAACACTGGACCCATGTTCCTGGCAGCATTCAGCTGGAGCTGAGAAGCGCTGCCCCTTTAATAGGACTTGTGCTGTCTAGCTTGCCAGGGACCCAACCTCTCCCCATCGTCTGATGCCTGGCCTGCTTTCCTCATTATCTTATCTGCCTGGCCCCAGGTAAGGCGTTAGATTTTGTGACCCTCACGGACGACCTTGAACTATCTTGCAAACCGCCAGTTATATGTGTACACTGTGTTGGGAAACCTGTGGACCCCCAAAGCCTGACCAGGGGCTTGGCGGATGTTTCTCTGCAGAGCAGACCAGCTGCCTGTCATGTTGTTTTGCATCATGGAAATCCTGCAAGGAGCCAGAAGTAAGGAGCTAATAAAACACACTGGAGCCTCTTATCATCCAGAAAAAGAACAGGAGTTATCCCCTCCTCCCTAAAACCCACCACCATCATTGCTACCTCCTCAGCAATTGTGTCCAGGTGCTTCAGGCTTCTAAGCGCATGTCAGAACCCCACCCTAGAAAAACAGCCCCTCTAGAACAGACCAAGAAACTGTGTGCCTGATTCTCCTCTATCTCCCCTGCACCGTGCATGATGTCAAGGCCTCAGTAAAGGTTTGCCAAGAGAAGAAAAACAGGCTAACCATTTATGAAATAGCAGGACTCAAAATGTGAACACATGCACTCCACAGCGATCTGTGCATTTGGGTCATCACAGAAGGAATGACTATCAGGACAAGAGGCTCTTATTCTAGTCTGACCTCCTCTTTCTGGCAGGAGTAAGGGTCCCCTATGCCCACACAAGCTCTGCACTGATGATAGTAGGGTATGAACTGGAGAAACGGAAACTGTCCAAGTTTTCAGGCTGCTGCCTTTTCTTCTTTCTGAAGAATTTAGAGAACCATCATTTCTGTTCATCTCTGAACTTCATCCTTGACTCTGTGTTTAAATGGAGTTGAGACTGCATCATCTACAACAGAAAACTTTCTTCCATACATTTATTTTTAAAGCTCTGAGAGTGCCCTTCCATGTATCTTGGATCAGACTGTAAAGGAAAGGGAACTGCGTGGCTCCCAGGAAGTTCCTGTGCATGACACGCAGCGTGTTTCTCTGGTTCTTTCTTTCCATGTGTGAGACTCCACATGTGAGTTGGGGAGAGGGCAGCTCCATAGCTCCAGAGCATCTTAGGAACCTGAACAACACCCCTGGAGTTGAAGACACACATCAGAACTACCGGGGTTCCGTGCTCTCAGAGAGAGGAAGAGCCTTGTTCCCCATACTCACTGTCAAGATCCCACTTTGAGTTTGTGGCAGAGCAGGAACAAGGAGCCAAGTCTCCCAACTCCAAGACAGGGCTGTGTTCCCCACACTCACTGATTCAAGCTCTGCCTAAACTGGAGGCAAGATTTTCTTCCTGGGAAGCTCTGAGATGAGCCAGCGCTAAGACCTTGAGCCTAGGCTTGCAAGGACAGTGACATATGTGATTGCCTAGTCAGGACAATTCACTGCAAAGTGTTCCACACATATAGGTGGGTGGTGAAGGGAGGGATGGAAATCACTCGGGGCTCAGAAGAACCTCGGGCAACCAGGGTATTGGCATGTTCCCCTCTCCTGGGCCTAGGACTCCTACCCACTTTGGAAAGAAGAGAAGAATAACAGAGACCCAGCAGGCCCCAGCAGCATCCCACTGGTTCAGTAACCCCTAAGGGGCCTTGGTGAAAAAAGAGACCAGATCTTCAGGAGATGCACATGCAGAGTCTCCAGGACGCCCTGCCATCCCCCCAAATCCCCAACCCCTACAGGCACGAGCCGCTCACCTGTTGATGGAACTGACACTAGGCACGGTGTCATTGTCACACACACGCTCTGCCAGCAGCCGGTCCCTGATCTCCCAGGCAAACATTGTGGGATTTTGGCGTTTATACTCAGCAATTTTTTCCACCACCTTGGGTGTGGCGACCTTTGGTTTGGATCCTCCAATTACGCCAGGCTTGATGCTTCCCGTCTCATAATACCTAGGACCCAAAGAGAAAGAAGCTTAGCCATGAGGAACCAGTAAAGTGGATGTTGGCAACAAAATAACTTGCTGCTCTGTCCAGGAAACGTCCGGATCTGCATGTTTCAATACAGTAGCCACCAGCCAGATGCAGCTTTTGAACATTTGAAATACGGGTAGTCTGAATCAAGATGTGCTGTAAATATAAAATACACACTGGATTTTTAAAACATAGTACCAAAAAAATGTAAACTATCTCAATAATTTTGTTATTAGTTATATGCTGAAATAATCATTTTTATATATTGAGCTAAATAAAATATGTAATTAAAATTTAGTACCTCTTCTTTTTTTTACTTAACATGCTACTAGAAAATGTTAAACTGCGTACACAGCTCTGGTATTTCTATTGGACAACACTGGCTATGCATTAACAAAATTCTTTCACATTCATCTACCCTTTTATAATTTACAGAAAACTTTCAAGTCAGTTTTCCCATTTTATCTCTAACAGTTCTAAAGCACACAAATTGTTTTGAATTAATGATTGAGTGAATGAACAAATAAATGAATAAGTTCTGATCTACAGGTATAAAGCAGAGATTCATCAAGGTTAAACAGCCTTCCTAGGGTCACACAAGACCAAATGGCCACGCCAGGACTGTGACCGGCCTCTGGAACTAAAATTTCCCCAGTAAGGTAGCTTACACCTTTGACAGCTCTCCCAAGCCCTAGCAGAATTCTCCAGCATTGTGCAAAACTGTCCCCTGAAATGCAACTTATTTTTCCATAAGAGAAAAATCATAATCCTGGTGTAAAATTAAAAGGAATATTGAATTGCAGAATTATCTGAAAATATGTGTTGTAAGTTAAAACCCAAGCAATCAGAAAAACCAACCACAAGTCACAGCAGCTCTTCCAGGGACCTCCCCCGAGGTAAATGGCTGTTTCTAAGGACATTTCCATGCTATCAGCATTTGCTCATTAAGGAAAATAGGATGTCAGGGTTTTACAGTAAAACCGAGACCAAGAAGAAGAGTGCCATGAAAGATCATTTCAAGGGGGAAAAAAATGACATGATTCCTTTTCTGAATCTGAGCCATCACTGGATCGGTGTCTCTCTCAATGTTTACAGAATTCTAGAGTTCCTTTTCCAAGGAAATTATCTTGCAGTTGAATATTTAAAAAAAAAAAAGACATTTTAAAAATGACTAGTAATTTTTAAACCTAACAAGAGTTGATGATACGCAAAGGAACGAGGGGATTCTGAGATGATAGAAAATGTTACCGAGGACGGCTGATCACATTTATAGAGATGCTGAAATTCCTAGCCTGGAATTTCAGGCTAAGTTTGGGTAAGGTCAAGTTAGTGAATATTCTAAAAGAGATGAAATAATTTGGAAGAAGTGATGTGAAAGTGAAATGTCTGTTTTTCATTGAAAAGAGTGAGCCATTTACAAATTTTGACCATAAAGCAAAAACTCAACCTATCTTACCTCTTTCTAAAAAGCTGCTTTCAGTAATTTTTCTGTAATTGCTAAAAAATTATTACTCACAAACAACTTTTTAACAACATCCAAAAAAAACCCCAGAAGTCTAGAAAAGCACCCTAAATCAAGGCACATAGCAATCTCTTCAGCCTCCTATCAATTTTATAATGTAAAGTCAATTTTTACTATAATACAACTCATTGTAATTCAGCCACAGCACCCTAAAGTTTACAGAGCTCTTCCTGGAACTATCTTGATCCTCACACTAACCCGGCAAGGCCACAGGGCTTTATAGAACGGAACATAAATGGTCAGAAGACTAAGTGACTTGCCTAACTCCCTTCTGTAGTTAGGGGCAGCCCCAGCTTTCAAACCTGACTCTAAATTCAGTGCTCTTCCTGCTACAGCAAACTGTTGCTTTGCTTATAAACATTTTAGATAATAATAATGATCCCTTGCAATTGCAGAGAACTTTACTATTTACCAGGCCAGGCATTTTCACATACATTTTTCATTCATTCACTCACTCAACCAATAGTTATCAAGTGTCTGTTAGGGCACATAGAATCTCAGGGAAGGGGTTACAGACATTTAGACAACCCTGTCCTGGATACGCAAAATATGTTAGTTGAATGGGACCACAACATTCACACAGCAACTCTGAGAGGGTGGCAGGCTGAAGGCCTCCCCAACTCAGCCCCCATTTACATGGCCGGTGGATGGCAGCACACAGGGCTACCTGCCCATCCCACCTGAGCAGTGCCAACTGTGGGAGACTGCGATCTTGACGTGAGAGGTCTCTCTTTCTTTTGACTGACACATGGGCCAGGCACTTAGAAGGCAAACCTGTCACTCCCGAAACCCCAACTCGAAACTGTGTCAAGTGAGGATTCAGACTTAATAACTCTCCTTTCATCTCAGCAAAACAGCCATGCAGCCCCTTGGCTTACAGACAAAAGACGAACGGCAGCCACCAACACACAATGTCCTTCGGTGCAAAGAGCATTAGTTTAGCAGTCAAGAGGTGTAGGTGCTAGTCAGTGGCTCTGACGCTAACTCGCTGTGTGATCTTGGCCAACTTAGCCTCTCTAGGGCTCGGTTTTCCCATTTATACAATAGGGGAAGAATGTTTACCCTGCTTGCTTTGTGAGGCTGTTTTGAAGGCAGAAATACAGACAGTTGAGAATAAGCTTTGCAAAACATAAAATAAAGAGCACGTGACGAGGATTAAAATCCCCCCCGTGTTTCTTATTACTGTGTAACATACCACCCGATTCCAATGACCTGCACCTCCCAACCAGGCTCCAGTGAAAAAAGACAGCAGCCCACTCCTGGGTGGATTTAACTCGGCCTCAGATGCCACCGAGCTGTGCCTCTCAAGCGCCTCCGAAGCCTTAAGCTCTGTAGACTGAATGCCCACACTCCTGGCAGACTGCCCACCTTCCTGAGATGACGGGGGTCCTGGTGTGCCCCAGGGACTTTGCCTGCCTTGCCACACACTCTGAAAACCACAGCCACCACACATCACACTCTCCCTACAATCTGTCACTTCTCTTGTGCCCATCAAATTCTTCAGTGATAAAAAAAAAAAAAAAAAAAAAAAAAAAACTGTGGATTGAACAGCCCCAGTTCAGAAATTCCCAGTTACACTGTTTTAGGGCTGAACTTGTTTCTTAAAAGGCAGTCCTAATTAGAGTGACATTTTGTCCACTGTGGTTCTTAGTTATGAAAATAATGAGCTATGAAATTCCAATTTATTGTTGACAACTTAAACGGCCAGGCACCGGAGCGGCGCGTAACTTCCGAGTGCCACTCTACCTAGTGACAAATCTATTCCGGGCTGCGTCAGGCTGCCGGCTGGGCTTGGAAGGGTCCCTGTCCCCCTCAATCTCCATGGGATATTTGGAGGCTCCAGAGTACCAGAACATGAGGACCCTGTGTTTGGATGTTCCCTCTGAAAAAGGCTCAGGATCTTGCCCTGAGATTTCAAACAGCAAGCAAAATGTCGGCTCAGCAAAGATGTCTCAGCAAAAACAAAGGAAGGGCCTTCTTTCTGTCTCCCTCTCTCTCAGTACAATGAAGAGGCTCCACAAAAAGACATCTAGGAGCCTTTTGGCTCTAGAAGTCTGATGCTGAGATAGTCTAAAATATTGTGCTCTCTCTCTTTCTCCTGTCTTGTCACTTACTTCTCTCTTTCTATTTCTCTGCCTTTTAAAAATCACTTTTTTCTGTCTTCTTTTTCTCTCTTTGTTTTCTCTGTCTCTCTGTCTTCTACTTTTCTTCTCTCACTCTCATCCTTCTGCCTAAAACAACCACCTAACAAGAACACTGTGCTAATGTCCCGCAATTGTCCCCTGACTCTGGGGTTCATTTGCTTTCTAAATGCTAAACAGGAGTGAAGCCCACAACCCCCACAGCTCAGGTAATCTGCCCTGGGCTGGAGGATGAGGAATGAAGCCCGGGGCCAAGGTCCCCAAAGGAGCTGCCAGACCCCTGGTCCTGAAACTTCTCCCCTTGGCCTCAAGCAAGCAGCCTCCCCAAGGTTATTAGAAGCTGTTGCTCCTTCCATCTAAGAGAATTGCTTGAATTCCAGCAGATGAAAGGGAAGGAGCCAGCAGAAAGTCACAATGTCACTGACATACTTCAAAATATTTATTTCCTTTTCAGGCATCTGTGCTCATACCATAATGCAAGCTACAGGACAAAGGCTGTTTTCTGACCTGGGGAAAGAAATAGTGAGAAAGCAACGAGCAGCTAAACCCGAGAAAGCTCTTGCCTGCCAGGGCAGACCTAAAACAAGATCACGTGCCCAGAAACAAACCTGTGGCTTTATTTTGGGGGTATGGTGAGACTCGGATGGTCAAGGGGTCCTTTAGGTATCATTGCAACCCAAATACTGCCTGGCTACATAAGCCTGTGTCAGTCTCTTTGCCTTTCTAGGTTTGTTTTCTCATCTTAAAACATGCTTCATTGGATCATGCAGAGGCTCCTAAGAAAATAAACGGAAGCACTAAAAGGCTGCATAGCCCTATGGGAGAAGCCTCATTGTTAGTATTTTGCTTGCAGCAAATTGCTGGGTCAAGTAGCAACTTTCAAATGTCACATTTGAGAGTTAGTGTTTGGGTGGTTGTTGTTTTTCTTCTCCTCTCTAATTTAATATATACTTTGGATGCTTGTCACCACGAAGAAAATAAAAACACAGAGAAGGAAAATACTATGGCCCAACATAACAAGGTTGACAATAATCCAAAACTGGAAATGACGGTTGACTTTTAAAAGTGGAATATGCTTTTGAAAACATTAAAGTAAAACACTGAACTCTGGTTATGTGATATTAAGGATTTTCCAACCAGTCCTGCTCAGAGACCTGGGCTCACCTAGGATAGCAATGGAAATTCCCAAATTTAGAACAATTCACTAGGATTTCAGAAAACATGTCATCCCTTCTGACGAAGCCACCCTATTCACATGTCTCTAGAGACAGGGGTTTCCCAGGGCTACTTGGAATTGGGGCTTTGCAAACTCTAAAGTGCTCTGAGTTTGAAACAAAATGCCACCATGGTTCTCACTATGACACTGTCATATTGGACAGCTGCTGGGTCGTATTTTAGGTTTTCATTTGAAAGATCAAGGGAAGTCTCAACCTCCTGCCTTTACCTGCCAAGAATTTTGCTGACACAACCATGGCTGACCCGAAGCTGCCTGGAGATGTCGCAGGGCCTGACACCTTGATGAGCAAGTTCCACTATCCTCTGGCGGACTACATCCGGGAGTGGCCGTCCATTCACAAAAACCCCCCCAAGCTGATTCACTCCTCCATGTCCTGAAACAGATCAGAAACAAAAGGAAAGGGAAAGGGTGATTAGAACCAGTCACATAGGAGAAGCACTGCTGTGAGGACCCAGAGCCCCTCTGATCACAAATGGCCGGCAGGCTGGATGACTTGGGCCTGGAGTTCAATCGTGCAAACTACGCAAGGTCCCCAGATTGCTTTTTGAAATTAATCTTAGCCTTTGTCCATCCACAGCCAGTCTATTGAGCTATTGACAGCAAACATCCCCATACTATTATTAACATTTTCTCCATAATTTTTCTAAACAATGAAATGTGTGAAGACCTCAATGTAAATGAAATGGGCACAACTTATTATGTGATGCTGAGGTCTAAGGAAGATTCTGGGGAGAAAATATGCTTTAAAATACATCACATTTAAAAGGGAAAAAATTGTTTTCTTTTAACAAATGTTTTTAAAAAGTGAAAAGAACAACTTCAATAAATGTATATCTCAGGGAAAAAAATTTTTTAATCTGCAATCTAATTCAAGGACTAAGGAAATTTTAAAAAATTTTAACAGCACCTGCAGAGCACTGAGCAAAGAAACAACCATCGCCTTGTTAAAAACCCTCCCTTTAAGAAGGTGAGGCTGACATGCAGACTTGACCACCGTACCTTCTCAAAGTACACAAAAGAAATGGGTCATAGCATCTTCTACACACAGCACATTCCACTCCACTGCATTGGAGATTTGTTATAAAGCAGTTTCCCTGGAATTTTTACAGTGTTTTGCAATAGGCAAACAGCTTTACTTTGGTTCCAGGGGAAATAAAGAAACCTAAGAAAGCCTCTGGGTCCCAGGTTTTACAAGGGTCCTGGGACAGATTTTAAGTAAAAGAAGTCCGAGAACGTGCCTCATCCACCCTTCTCTTACATCAAGGTCCATCTGGAGAGACATAGGACCCAAGTAAATGAAGAATCAAATCAATAAACACAGAGTGATCCAATGCAGCAACATCATTGACCTTATAGCTGTTAATTAGTCACTCACTGACGTTGCTAAAGACTGGAGCCCAAAGCCAAGTCAAAGCGTTTCTTGATGCTGCTGGCAGCTCAGAGGCAAAGGAAGGGGAAACTCCTTCTAAACGGGGACTAGGCTAGGACTGGGCTGTACAAGGGAAAGACCTCAAAGGTCACACACACATATACACTCCAACTCCAAAACATGAAATACCGCCTCATCTCAGCAATTCCTCTCCAGTACTCAACTACTACCCAGGTTCATGAACCACGACTGAAATAAAGGGAGCAAAACCTCGCATAATATAAGCTATTTCCTAAAAACTGTCCAAGCAGTCCACTGAAGTTTCCCATGAATATTTCCCAAAATGTCCAACCTCAGGCTTATTTTAAGAAAAAAACACAATTTTATAGAAAACTGCAGTACTTAGTTCCAGTTCTAAGCTGGATTTCTGATTTTCAAAATGATCTTTATTCAGTTTTGATTGTTCTAAAACACTCCAGACATAAGGAAAAGGAAAACCATTCCAAATAGGATTTTGCGGTTAGAAACATAATTGCGTAGTTTTTCTAAAACAGAAAGACTGCAGCCACCCTGGTCAAAAACCTCAGAAGGCTTTGTTCTGGGGCTGGGAACACCTATTAAAAAGGGTTGTACAGATCTTTCAAGAGCAGGCTGGATTTAAGTAAAATTTTAAAAATTCAAAATTAGTATGAGTTCATCTGGGAAAACAAAGGGCAGGCGAAAGAAGCTGAAACACCCAGCACCCTTTTGATATGACCTGGGAGTCCAGGTATTATGGTTCATCTGCAATAGTCTGTTCCCTACATAACTGACAATTGAGACTTTCTGCCCAAGACACAGTAGCAACCTTCAGAGGACTTAAATTCCAAAGCAGTCCTGCAGGACACGTGTGAGCACTAGGGGCTATTTTGTATCAAGGGAAAAACCCTAAAGGTCTCCTAGAGCCTGGTTTCTCAAGGTGAGAGCAGGTCCCTAAACCCTCTACCCTTGACCACATAGGCTGAGCTACTAACGCTCTTTCACAGTCTTATCTATAGGTCCACAGCTGACACCAGACTTGGGATGACCTGGGAGCCTCTTCCCTTCCTCAGCTTCCTTGAAAGGTCCCCAAGCCCCATTGGCCTTCTTCACCATCAGTCTTACCCAATGGAGCTCTTAGAGGGTGGTGATGAGGTTTACAACTATGGTGTGAGGAAGACCAATTACCCTGGTTTGGAAAGAAGTGAAGTCCAAAGTCTGAATGAGGCGAGGCAGGACAGAGAAAGAAAAGAGGGAAAAAGAGGTGTGTTGACAGAAGTGCAAAAAGTGGGAACTAGATGAGATAGACAGCCAGATGAGAGAGGCTGGAAAGGAAGCAGGAGGTTAGGCAGGCAGAGGAGAGGGAAAATGAATGGAGAAGCTAGAACAGGCCGAGAAAAGAAAGATGAAGGTGGCACACCACAGGAGGCAACAAGAAGAGAAAATGGAGGAAGCCCAGGAAGGGGCTTCTGGAGGACAGGGGACTTCTGTGGACAGGATGCCGTTGTTTTCTAGGGCCCCAGCTCTGGTCCTGCATCTTCTTGGAAAACTCAAGTCCCAGCCTGTACTTCCTATGGACTCCAATTAGCTGAGGACTCATTCCATGAAAGGGGAACTGACACAAAGACAGAGGCAAGCAAATCAGGTGAAGACCAGGAAACAGACCCACAGATACAAGAAAAAGACCAGCCAGGACAGGTCAGACTCGGCAGGGTTTGGAGGGGATGAGGAGAGAAAGACTAAATTGCAGATGCCCCTGAGGCCTTTGTGGCTCTTATCTGGAAAGGGGTGGCCTCCACAGATGCTCCTCAGGCCCTGATAAAGATATGCTACCCATCACAGGCCCTCCCAATACCTCCAAAGACCATGGCTGAGCATGAGATTTTGGGGAAAGGGTCCTTGCTGACTCAGGCACAGACCGAGCTCCAGGACCCCAACAGGATCACTAACATTTTTCCTAGATGCACCAGAAAGAATGAAGGGGTACACAGACAGGCAAACAGGGGCACAGGGAAAGGGCAGGGAAGAAGTCTTCCTAGTAGACTCTCCAATGCACAGACAGGTATTGACACATGTGGACAGTCAGGCAGTAGACATAGATATGGTTAGAGTAGTCAGAGAGAGAGCTTTGCATGTGTGTATACCCACTGCCCTTTCCCTGGAATCTGGGTCCCTCCCTCTCCCCTTCTGTGAACCCTCATTTTTATGCCTTTGTCAGACAGTCAGGGAGACCCAAGAACCAGCTCTAGCCTGGACAATATGAACTTCCTGAGTCAGTCCTTTTGTCTCTCTGACCTCAATATCATATTCTGTAAAATGGGTGAAGATGAAGGTTTAGGTAACCCTCAGGTAGGACACTGGCTATAAGTGTTTTACAACTGGTAATGATACCTAGAGAAACAGCTTAGGAAGGGAGAAGGAGGTTAGTGTGCTGATGAAAATGATGAGCCTGGAATAGCAGGTGGGGGCTCCTCAGAACTCAGAAGCCCATTTCCTAGTAGTGCCTGCCCCTCACCAAAGAAGCTGTCCTGCTCTGAAGCAGTGGTGGGGGTTGGGGTGGGGAGAGATAACAGGGAGAAGAAATTGACTGGGCCAAGAGGAAGACGAGGAGCTGGGATTGATCTGACCTTCTACTACCTCAGCTACCTCCCAGGATCTACTGTGACCCCCCCCATTCCCCATTGCTAGCAAGTTGGGGCCCCAGAGGAGGCCTACATTGTGCAAGAAAATAGCTTTGGGCCTCAGAACCAGAGTGCTTCCAGAGAAGCCAAGGGCTTGCACCGGCTTTGGAAGCTAGGCTGGCTGGGGCCCAGCCCCCACTGCTGCCAGGGAGATTGAAAATGGGAGGGAGCACTTCCCATGGAGGGGGCAGATTGAAGACCCAGACGAGGAGGTACAGACATTAGCGGTTGGCTAACCCGCACCTGAAAGCAGCTGCCTTCTCCACGCTGGTGCTCAGCCGAGAGACCACCACCGGATCTCATGCTATCTCCCCAAGGGCCAGGGCACAACCTCTGGGCCATGAGCTCTGGGCAGAAGGACACAGTGAGGGCCTGTGGATTTCTGCAGGTGAGGAGAGAAGCGCAGGGGCTGGTCCTCCCTATCTGTCCCCACAGTTGCTCCTTGGCTGAGCCAAGGGCTTGCCCACCTCTCAGAGCACTGCCCCAACTGGTTTGTTTTGGGGCTTACAGTGCAAGATCGGAGACTCCCCAGAGCCAAGCTGGAGTCCGAGCAGGAAAAGGCTGTGGAGGGCACTGGGGTCACCACGGACTGGAAACGGTTGGGCACAGGCCCCAAACCTTGAGGAATCATTTGGGCTGGGACCAGAACAGGCAGCTCAGCTGCACAGAGCTCCCGACCGATTTGGTGGATTACTGCAGACTCAGAAAATTGACACAAAGAGAAACTGACCTGCCTGCAGCCAGCGCAGGCTGCTGAAACAAGCTTTCCCCTACTTGCCAGGCCACTCAGCCCTCCGTGGCAGACAAGGACATGCTCGCTCCGGGAAGCTGGCCTTCTCTCCAGCCGGGTCTCTGCTGCCTTTGTTAAATAGGGGACCGCGGCTGGGAAAGCTGGATCCCAGACTGTTGGGGGAAGGGGGTGAACCGGGCATGGGGAGTGCTCCCAGCCCGGGAGCAACTCGCTGACCTGCAGCCCGCAGAGACCCCGAGCAGCACAGGAGCAGAGACTGCCAAAGCCTGGCACCTTCCTCCAGCCTGGCTCTGCAGCAAGCAGAAAGGAAACGCGATTCGTTCCACTTGGAATTTCCTTGAAATCTCCGAATCTAATCCGGCGGTTAACTCACCGTGAGAGGAGCGTTCATCTCACAGGAGGCTGTGCTAATGGGTGAATTGGCAGGATCCCCACGGGTCGGGCAGCCGGGCCGGCCCTGCCCTCGCCCGAAATGACCCTTCCCGTCTCCTACGCATGCTGCGTCTTTCAGAGGTGGGGGTGCCTGCGTGGTGACTAATTGGCTTCCTCTTTCTTTCTTTCTTTTTTCTTTTTCCTCTTTTTTTTAAAAGGGAGAAGCCACGGCGAACAGGCGTCCTGCAGAGAAGGACCCGATGGGGTCTTTAAGAGTCTCTGTATGAACTGGCCGCCTCCTAAGCAGTTGCTGAACTCAGAAACCGTTACTTCGTTGATTTTTCAAATCCCCCCCCCCCTCAACTCCAGGACGCCTTTGGAGCCCTAGACCCGGTGTTCTCGCTTAGTTCTCAACCTCTTCCTCCACACAAACAGACATGGGTCAGGGCCCTACTTTCCCTCCAAGCTCCAGTCTGGATCAGCCCCACTGCTGAAAAAGGCGCCATCCGGGTAGGGGTATGGGGCGCTGAGACTCAGACTGACCTCTCCCTACAACTTAGTGCCCTTCAACTGGCCTGGCCCGGAGCCCTCTACGGGTCCAAGCCAGGGTTCTCCGAAAGAGCTGAAATGCCGCCGGAGCCTTGAAAGGCTGCAGCTTGCTGCCCAAGCTAAGCGTTGCTGGAGGCGGGATTCCAGGACCAGGTGCTCCAGCCCCGGCGGCCAAGCACGTTGTTCCAGGTCCCCCGCCTGGGATCCCTGCACTTTGCAAAGTTGGCTGCGCGGCTGCAGAGGTCCGGGATCTTCCCGGCCTCAGTATCTCACCCACGGTCCGGCACCCCCAACCCGGTCCCGGCGGGAGAGTGAGAGAAGCGAACTCGCCGCCTACTTACTATGCATGGATGCAAACGGGTCGTGCTTACAGTGTATTTCCATCGGGGCGCTCCAGACTGCAGGCCGGCCCACGCCGCCGCCTCCCGGCGCCAAGGGGCTGCCCAGGGCCGACAGGGAGCTGCGCCACGAGGCCAGGCACTGTGCGACCTGGGCTCAGAAAACACTGCTGGAGCTTCGGGGTCTCTCTCAGAGCCTCCCTGCTGGAGACCACCGGGAGCTGCGCGAAGAGGCGGGAAACAGTGCTAGCGCAGCCTGGCTAGGATCTGGTGCCCAACTCCTGCTGGCTTCTTTCCCTGGCTGGCTCAAGCGGCGGTTCCAGGCCCAGCCCGGGGTAGCTGCGGCCAAGGCGCCCGCGGCTTCGGGGGCATAGCGTAGGGGCCCGCCTCCGGGACCTCCAGCAGCCCCGGCCGGAGGTAGGGGCGGCTCTGAGGAGGCCGCCGGAACGCTCGGCCCTTGGCTTCACCCAGGGGGCAGCGAGACCTGGTGGCTACCAGGCTGGTTCCGCGGCCTCGATGCCTCTGGGGTCCCTCCTCGACCCCTCGGTCTCCACCAGATCCTTTCTTTCTCTGCTTCTCCGAGTCTCTGGGGCTCAGACTGACCCCCTCAGCCTCTCTCCGGCTGTCTCTCCGACGTCTCGGACGAAGTTGCAAAGAACTTCCTCTCCGGCAGCACGGGGTCCTGGCGGGTTTGGAAATGCTTCAGCCACTGACGTTGGGGCCGCGACTCCGGAGTCCCCGGGAGGGTGCAGCCCTCCAACCCCGAAACCCGCTGCCTTCAAAGTTCCCGCGGCCCCCGTTGCTCGCCCATCGCTGGGACCAGGACCGGGGACACCAGCGACGGACTCTTCCTCGCCAGGGTGTCTACCTCGTGCCTATCAACTCTTCAAGCCCCGCCGCCCTCCCTCGTGGGTCTGGTTCCACTGTCTTTCCGCTGCCTCTTCCGGGACGGTGGCCGCGCCTGCCCCAGGGGTGGAGAGAGGAACAGAAGAGAGAGCGAAGAGTCCCCGTCACCAAGGCCGCCGGGGCTGCCGGGGCTGAGATGGAGCCGCCAGCTCTGAATGCCTGCGTTGCTGCCGCCGCCGGCGCTAGCCCTCCGCCTGCTCGGCGCGCACAGTGCGCCACCGCGCCGCCCAGGAGCCGCTTTCAGGACCCGCTGCGTGTGGACAGCGCCGCCCGGGGCTCAGCTCCCTCCGGGCGGGGGCGGGGCGGGGGCTAACCTGCCAATCACGCTCCACCACACCAATCAGAGTGGCGGCAGCCGGCCCCGGCCCGAAACACCGCCCCATTGGCTAAGCAGTCCACGGGCTCCGCCTGATTAGCCGACACCTGGGCAATGGGAGAGAATGGGGGGCGGGGCCCAGGCGGCGGCGCCACGTTCATTGACAAACGCGCTGGACTAAGGCCTAGTGGATCGCGGATGTGGGGAGGGGGAAGGGGGCCCACGCAGTGCCTGGAGAGTCCTGTTGCGGGCCCCACGCGGGCTCGACCTCCCCACCGCGACGTTGGGAACCTGGGACCCTCTCAGGGCTTGGGAGCAGCCGAATGAAGGATGATAATGGGGGAATAGTCTCCAGAAAAAACAAAAATTGTATGTTGGAGGAAGACAAGGAGCGCAGTAGAGATCCCGCACCATCAGGCTCGTGATGGACTCGGAGTGTGTGCCTATCTGCCAGTTCTGACCTCACTTTCCTAATCTGTAAAATGGGCAGAGTGGGGTTAACTAGATTTTAATGAAGCCTCTTTCCACGGAAATCTTTCCTAATTTTATTTCCTAATTTTATCAAGGACCTACAAAACCACCACTGGCTCATTCTCGTCCACCCTCCTCCCTCACTTCCACCTGCAGGGCCCTCAATGCTCCATTAACCGAAGGCAGAGAAGTTGGGGGAAGGGCGAGAATATCTCACACTCGTTTAAAGTTAGTAACTGGGGCTCACCAGGGCGCACCTGGGTGGAAGGGCTAAGGCTTTGGGCCAGGTTCCTCAAGCAGAGTGGCTGGCCCTCTTTCTTGCCTCAGATCGGCAACTGCTAGACGCTTTGGGAAATGGTGTTGGCGCTTCTATCCACCAGAGCAATTCTGCACCTGACTCAAGGCTTCTTGAGAACCGAATGAGCCAAGTCGCGTCCAGTGCTAAAAAGGGTCCCTGAAGCGGGCAGGTGGGCAGAGGCATTCTATCTCCAAGGGGCAAGCAAAGCGGCCAGGCCGCTGCAATGCGAAAAACCCGACCTTCCCTCTACTGGGGAAGTTCCCGTCCTTATGTAGACAAAATGGATGGATTTGTAACAGAACTCTCCTGCTACAAAAGAGGTCTTTGACTAGCGAGTCCGTTTCTTGGTGGAGTTTAAGGCTCTGAGACAACAATCAAAGAAACTGGACCTTAAAAAGGAAGCATGGGACAGTCATTCTTCACCCAGGAAGCTATAGTTCTGTGTGCCTTCTGGGTTCTGGCACAAGAAAGACGCTGAGGATTCCCTTGCCCCAGCAGCTCATGAGAGAGGTCGGAAGACCTCTCAGTCACTTTCTATTTCATGAGTGATGATCCGCTAGTATTAAACATAAATCCACCAAAACAAGGGCTTTGAGATGTCTGCTCCAGGATGGACTTGTAAGGAAGACAGGGCACAGGCTGATCATGGGAGGATTCCTGGGTTATCCTTTTGCTTTATTCTCTGCCTCGGTTTCCCCTCCTCTTCTTTCTCTCTACTCATGTTCCACTTCTCAAACTCCTACACTGGGTCGGGCCTTGGGCCCACCTTCTGTCCCTGTTCTACACCCAGCTGTCCCTGACCAGTAGACAAGTTTCCGGCGCTGACACCCGTCCCCACCCCCAAGCAGGGCACAGCTGCGGAAAACGGCCCCAGGCGGGCCTCTGGGGACCCAGGAAACTGCAGTGCGCGCGGGGGTGGAGTGGCGGCTATCTCTTCTTTGTCTGGAACCCCGCCTGTCCGGATCTTCCCCTTCCACCCTGGCCTTGGAGCAGGAAGATCGCAACAGCAGAGAGGGACCGGGAAGGATTAGAGTTCCCGCACTGGCTTCACCCGATGGCCCCCAATGGGTCGGAAACGACCAGAATCCAGAGCCTTGGCCCAGACTCAACATGGCGACTTGCACACCTACTGGGGAGGCGCGAGTGCGGGACGCCTGAGGTTTGCAGCCAGTGACACCCTCACCCCCAGCCTCTCTCGTTGAGCTCAGGCCTACAAACCCAGGTTCTCTAGAGTCTCCAGAGCTAAAGGGGACCCGAAGCTATGCTTTCTCCATTTCACAGGTGCAGAACCCGAGGCCCAGAGGCAGAATGCGACTTGTCCAAAGTCCCACAGCAAGTCTAGGGTAGAAGAAAGACAGGGCTGGAAACCTTTCTCAAAAGCGCCTCTCCAGAGCCGCGCTCGGGATGGTGGGGGAGGGGCGGTTGATGCCAAATCAAAGAACTCGGCTGGAATATGCCCGCACACGTACGTCTTTCTTCGGATACCCGTGAGGCTTGGATAGACTCCCCGGGGCACAGCCCGAACAGGAGTAGCTCCGATTCCCCATTTCACACAGTAGGTGTTCAGCTTCGGGACAGTGTTCTGCTGCGAGGCACACACGGGACCAGCCTTACCTGTGCACCCAGAACAGCCCCCTCCCGCACTTCGCGGCGTTCTGGGCGGAAGGAGTTTCCCCCTGGGTGGGGTGATTCATCACCGCCAGAGCCGGTGGCCCCTGGAAAGTTCCAACCCCAAAAGGCGCGATCAGACCTGATACCAAGACCAGCCTTGCAGGTCACCAAACGGCAGCCCAGTGAGGTTACGTGACTAGCTGAAGGCTGCACAGCAAGTCCTTGGCGGAGCCGGGCTACTGCGCCTCAGTCCTGTCTCTGAATGCCCACGAGCTGCAGCTTGGGTCTAGGAGAGCGAGACTAGCCGGGGCTGGTCTCGCCTCGACTCTCAACGCTGTCGGGCCTCGCTGTGATCTACAACGATGCGCTTTCTTTCTCCCAGTAGCAGAGCTTTGGGCCGGGTCCCGTGCTAGGCGCTGGGGGCAGAAGACCGATAAAGGAAACTATCCAGGAAGAAACTCAATTTATGTAAACCGAATTGCCTTTGAAAGTTTTAAAACTGAAAAACAGCCCATTGAGAATAATGTTTGAGAAGCCAGAAGCCAGAGACCTTGCTTCACTGGGGACACACCCCCTCCCGGCGTCCCCTTCCACGGCTCCCAGAGCCATGCATTATCGCAGCTTCAGGATGTCAGGGCTGCTACAGAGCTCTATTAGCCTGACATTGACTCCCTCAACCCAAGTCTAGCCCATTTCACTGTCCTTGCCTCTGGCAAAGTGAGGCCCAATAGGGCTCAGACTGGTTGTTCAGTTCTGGAAAGATCAGGAATGCTGCCGGCATGGCTGTCCCAACCCATTGAGTGCCCTCTAAACTTAATTTTAAAAAATGAAAATAAAAAAAAATAAAGTATCAGGGGGAAAGAAATTGACCTGAAATTACACAGCAAGTCCAGGCACAGCAGACTCCTGCATGATTCCTGCTCCTGGTTCAGGAGTCTGCTCTACCTGACGCGGCTCTGTTTGCAGGAGTTCTTGAAGAGGGTGGAGAAAAACATGAGAATTTCACCAGGTTTTTCAAGAATCATGTAACACTGCCTCAGTCGGGGTATGTTATCATTACCAGCGTGCCCTGCAGGCTGGGATCACTGAGATTAACTCTCTCTCCCAAAGACCTGAGACAGGCAGCCCCTTCTAAAGCCTCTCTTTCCTCGTTTATTTAATACAGGGAATAAACCCTGAATGTGACTTCCTAAGGCTCTGTGAGATGAAGTTTCATGGATAGGGGTTATTACTATCCGTCACTCCATCCCAGGCTCATTCCAGAGCTGTGAGATTGGATGCCAATGCCCAGTGGGAAAGTATTTAACCTACCCAGGTCGGCCTGGGCCTAAGGACTCAAGGGCTCCCATGGCAAGGAGATATTACTACTTTCCCAATAGTAGTTTTTCTCCAAGAGGTCCATGGAGAGAGGAGGGAATCTGTCTCTTCTCCTAGCAGGAACAAGAGGTCTAAGGGCAGAGAGGTCACCTTCCATTCCTATTCCCTCCATTACTCATGTTTTATGATCTCCTACAAGTCCCTGCCTCTCTCTGAACCTATGTGTTTCCTTTCTCTACAGCAAGGAAGATATTAGAGTAGAAGGTATTTAAGTGGGTCCTTGCTTAGTGCTGTCCTGGCCTTATCTCAGGCTTAGAGTCAGAAGGACATACTCCCTCCTCACTGGGCAGATAGGGAGACTGAGGTTGAGGTAAGAAATGGAATATGGTTCTGAAGGAAGAAAAGAGAAGTTTGTCAGCCCATAAAATACCTAGAAGTTGGGAGAAGAAAGAAGCTCTCACAAGAACCGGACCTGGACATGCCTTTGAGCACCAGCCTGGACAGCTTCTCAGCTTCTCTCTCTTCTCCAGCCCTGACCCAGGCTGGAGTGGACAGGTGGAAGAACAGTCTGACTTGAACTGTTGCCCTTTTCCAGGCAGGCAGCTCTTCCCCTACCAGCAGCGAAGAGGGGGCGTGGCCCTCTATACTAAGCCCTGGCCAGCCTAGGGCTCCCCTATCACACCTCACCCCACTCCACACCAAGCCCCACCCAGTCCAGCTGTGCGGAGGAATGAAATGCTTTATTGATTAAACGATTATTCAGGCAATTGAACTAATCAAAGAGCCCATCGACCGCCATGAATTACATTCTTCTAGACAGCTTGTTGAGAGAGCCAGCCCTCAGGACTGCACAGACCCTCTCCACGACATTCACCCATCCCCAGCTTATTCCCAACACGTACACAACCACCACTTCCAAGCTCATGTCTCTCTGAAAGTCCGTCTGCTGAGAAGCCCACTGCCAAGGAGAAGAGCCTTCTGGGAATTGAGGATGGAGAGTTGGGGTTTCCAGTTTCCTCTTCCTGAGCCCTCATCCTGGGAACTCTCTACAGTACTGCCTCAGATCTCTGCCCTCATTTCTCTTCAGCTGCAATTTTGGAAACATAGTTGTACCCCAGGAGTTGTCCAGGGCTTCGGGTCTAAGTTTATCCTCTTGGCTCTTAGGCTTGTATTTGAGGCTGGATTAGAGGTGGGGGCTCTCAGAGAGCACAGGGGTGGGTGAAGGGTGCTTCTTGCCAGGCCCAGGAATGTGTTTGTGTGGGAGTTACACAGTGGCCTAATGATTGAAAGAGGCCCCCCCATACCTGATGCATGCCTCAGGGCAGATGGAGGCCTACTGCCTCTACTATCTCCTCTCAGACATAAACACATCCTGCTACCTACTTCTCAGGCCTGTGGGAGGCACACGGGGACTTATGCCAGGGAGGCCTGTGTGCATATAGGCACCAGAGCTGAATGAGCTGAATGCCCAGACTACGCACATGCATCCACCCACTGTGCTGTCCTACACTGGAGCGGTACCCAGAGGATAAAACCTGAGGACACTGTGTGTGTGTGTACAAATATACACGCCAGTGTCAGAGGCTTGTCTAGGTGAAAGTGAAAGTAGGTTGGGGGTCTCTAGAAATGTCACAACTAACCCCATAGGTGTCCACTCTCATCTGCAAGGTTGTGCCTGCCACAGGAGACCTTTCTGTACAAACGGTAGCCTCAACAGTGTCCACTGCACACCAAGAGGCTACATGCCCTGAATTCACACCTTCACTCCTGGTTCCATCTCCCAATAGAATGGAAACTGTACCTTACTATGCACATGCTAAGCACCACGGATCTCCACAGGCCCCAGACCCACATCTATGCCTAGAGACACAATGTGAAAATTGGCATGTACACATTGGACAGCTGTTGACATAGAAAAATGGAAAGGTCAGTGTAGCCACCTCTTTCTCACTTCCAAACTCACTTGGGATATAACAGATGAACACAGGCCTTAAAATAGTGGATGTACACTCAGATATTTCCCAGTTACATAAATAACGCTCAGTAGACACACGTTTTGGTACTCAAAAGAACACACAAATACTAACTTATAAACACACACGAATACCTCACGAGTGTAAATACACACACACACACACACACACACACACACAGGCAAACAAACTTTTGGACACAAACTCATATATTTTGATATCTTTTGAAAATACAGATACAGGGACACACAAACTTACTGTCAGTCATGCACACACTGAGCCCCTTAAGTAAACACTAACTTGCAGACCCCCGGAAGGACACCAGCATAAACATTCAGAAACCGAGAAAAACACAGACAAACTCACAGATACTTGGACTGATGCAGAAGTGTGTGAACAGTTAGCTGAAAAGACATAACAAACAAGCTGCAGTTAAACATACAGTCAATCTCTACGAAAATGCGGCACACCCCCTCCTCCTCCAGGGTCACCCTGCCTGGGGACCAGGGCCTGGCTCTGTCCCCGAGTTTGCAAGTCTGGAGCCCGCATCGCGGTCCTACCTGTCCTGCTGGTCCGAGGAGTCGGGTAATTTTTCTCTAAATCCATTTTGATTTTTCAGAACTTGATGGAATGGACAGGGAAAAAAGTTTCCACTTTTTTGTGCCTTTTTTTTTTTTTTTTTTTTTTTTTTTTTTTTTTTTTTTTTTTTTTTTTTTTTTGTGCCAGGGGCCGCTCACAGGTCGGAATAATTCAAGCCTTCCGCTCCCCCGCGGAGCTGGGGTAGCTGATCACTGAGCTGAAACTAAACGTTTTAGGTGGAAAAAAAGCGTCCGAAGGCACCGTGAAATGATTAAGGAACTAAAGAGCTTCTCGCCATGTGAGATCATGTCCTGTTCTCGCCAACATCACAAGATGTCCCCAGACACGCCGCGCCCCCAGCGCGCAGCCCCGCACTGCCGGCCCGGAGCGAGGAAAGGGTAGGCGCTGTGCGGCCGGGCCTGCTCAGCGTCCCAGACGTGGCGGACCCGGCCGGGCCGGGCCGGGGTAGAGCGGGAGGCCGGGAGAGCAGCAGTGCTGCTGCCGCGCCGCCCCAGACTTTTATACGGCCCGGGGGGGAGGGAAAGAAGGCTTCAGACTGCGCCGGGTGCTAGCCGGCGCACCTACGGAAAGGGGCAGACCAAAGCCGAGCCGGGAGCCCGGGCCTCGCAGCCGCACCCTCTATTAAGCCCTGCACCCTGGGGTCGCGGCCCTCTGCGCTGTGCGCAGGGCCTGTGACCTCTCCATTTGCAAACCCCGCCGCTTAGACGGGCGCAGGCCAGGTTTTTGTTTTTAAAGAAATTAACTGCTCTGCCAAGCAGGTGCTTTTGAAGGGGATTGCAAAGGCTGTCAGTGTTGGCAGACACAGAGGGGACCTTCTGGTTTACTCAGACTCACCCCTAGGGCGGCGCCCGACCCCAGGATTCCCAGCCACCCCACCCCTACCCCAATTTGCAGTTCCAATACTATTGCTGGGCCTCTGACCCTAGGGCAGCATCAGATCCCTAAAGCCCCCAGGTCCCATCCAGTCTCCTGGTCCCAGAACCCCTCCCTACACCAAGTTCCATTCTGGCCCAGAGCCTGGAGGTTAAGCTGTGAAATGCTGGAGATGAAATCTGGGCTTCCGATTTGGAGCACCCGGGCAGAGGAGAACATCTCAGTAGTTCCTGGAGATTGGCGGGAGTTCCAGACCCGGCCCACAAATGGAATCCCATTGCCCTCCAGCCCTGAGACGTTGCGGAGTCCCAGAGCCCCAGGACTTGATTCCAGAGAGGAAATTAGATCCGGAGAGACCGGGCAGAGGTGTGGCATGTCCAGCCCTCTCTCTTCGGCCCAGGCAAAAGCCTTCCCTCCCTGTTCTCCTCCCCAGTCTCGAGTTAGTTCAGCTGCTTGGCCTGGCCACTGGAAGCCTGTGGGGCCCTGCAGCGGGGTGGTCGCTAGGGAAAGGTTCTCCAAGGCGGGGGAGCGCTCCGTAGGAGGACTCCTGGTCCGCTGGACAATGGCAGTTTTGGAGAGTGAATCGTCCTCAGCAAGAGTGTTGTTTGTTTTTTGGAGGGGGTGGTCACGAGGCTGGGTCGCAACCTAGGGGGAAGAGCCTAGAGCTCGACGAAAGGGGGGCCTCCGGCGGGAACTGGACATCACATATCCACTGAGCAGATTTTGCCACAATCGGAAATGTGGCTGTGAATTCCTGGGCTGCCCCCCCACCAAGTGGTCTGCGCAGTTCTCCAGCGCCGCCTCCTCCCTGCAGCCTGCGGGCCCGAGTCCCTACCCCGCGATTTGATTTTTGGCCACCTCCGAGCGCTCGACTCATTCCCGCCGCAGCCCAGCCCCAGCCCAGGCTTCCCGCCCTCCCGCCTAGCCCGCGCCGGGAGGCAGCGCCTGGGAGGAGCGGCCTGTCGGCGACTGGAGATCAAAAGCCCTCCCGCAATTGACATTTCACCCGGGCTGGGGGCGGGGGGTTGTTGGTGTTTTGTTGTTGTTGTTTCCATTTAGAGGGTTTGTTTTCTTTTTGTTTGTTTTCTGTGAGTTTTCATTTATCCATGGGAGATTCTTTTGTGTCGGGTGTTTTGCGTGTTGTGTTTTCGTGGGATTGATTTTAGCGGGTTTTACTCTGTAAGTCCTAGTTTTTGGAGTGGGTTTTGATTTGGGGTGGTTTTGTACTTTATCCTTGTAGGCTTTTTGTGTGTCGTTTGCAAGGCTTTTCCTTCTCCGCGGTGTTTAGATGTGTTTTGATTTCATGTGAGTGGGTGTCGTTTGTGTGTTGCCTTAGTGAATTTCGTGTTGCGTGTGTTGTTTCCTAGATTTGAATTTTATTTTTCTGAACTGTACATTTTGATGGGGGCTGGGGTTATGTTTTAATGTATTGGCTTTAGTTTTTGTTTGTAGGATGCTTTGGTGAGAGTTTGCACGTGGGTCGTGGCTTTTGTGGGGCTTTGGGATTAGTGAGGGGACATCAGCCACTACTCCGTTCCTGCCTGCACCCATGAAGGGCAGAGGATTAGGCCAAACATCACGAATCGTGGGTTCGCCGTGCTCCGCCGCATCGCGCTCCGGACGCTCGAGACCAGCGGAAAACAAATGTGGTTCCCGAGGGGGCGCCTGCTGGTCGACAAAACCTCGCTGGCCCCGAGGCGCCAGTGCTGGGTCAGAATCACAGAGAGCCGCTCGCGGGGTACCGGGGCCCAGCTGCCATCCCCTTGCCCACCCTGTCCGCTGTGAGTCGGTCTCCCCTTGCGCCTGGCCAGCGTGTTTCGGACGGTCCGGACTCCAGCAGCGCTGGCCCAAGGGGCGGCTCCTCTAGGCAGCGCAGGTGACGAACCACTTCGGGGGACACGGAATTGACGCAGCGGCCCTCGAGATATGGGACAAGGGGCCAGAACTCGGGGAGTCTAGGCTCAGAGGGGCGTCGGGATCCCGGGAAAATCCCCCATCTCCCTTGCCGGAAGGTCTAGAATCCCAGAAACCCAACTCCACGCAGCTTTCGGTTTGGAGAGCCCGCCCTGGTTTGCAAGCACAGATACATGTGCCCACACCCGAACACACGCAGACACCGCCAGAGAGCGAGGCAGCGCGAGCAGGCGCCTCCGTAGCAGCGGCCTGCGGGGCGGAACCGGCGCTGGCGCCGCCTCAAGGGGAAACCGAATTGTAGTGACCGGAAATGTTTTGAGGACAATATAAGCCATTTCTTCTGTCCACGTTGCTGGGACTTCTCCAGCTCGGCACACCTTGGTTTGTTTAATGCTACATGAAGGAGAAGAGGAGAGGCAAATTTAGAGGCAGACACATGCTGGCTCAATTGGCAAGGAAATACAAGCAGAGTCTATACATAAAGAAATATGGAACAGGGGAGACTAGACTGTGGGGAAGGCAGATTGGAGGCCCAGGAAAGGGGCTGGTGCAAAGGCTCCTCCAGGCCTCTGCGCGCTCTGGCATTCTGTGAGAAGGAAAAAGCAGAAACCGAGAACAGAGAGTGACAGGAAAAGAAAAGAGACGCAGAAGGGGTTGGCCTAGGCACGCTGCGAGCTTCCCTTCAGCTTAGATGCTGCGGGCAAGGGAGGGGGAGGCCGACTTCGCCCGGCGAAGGGCCAAGGTCGGGCTCTTTAACTCGGCGGGGAAACACCGTGGGGGGCTCCAGGGCTCCTGGAGCCCGGACTGGGGCTAAATTTCGGCCCAGTGCCGCTCTTCCTCAGACCCCCAGCCCGGAATCTAGCAAAGGCTGGGCCGTTGCCGTCCGCCGTGGGGCTTCCCTCTGTGCGAACCAAGGCAGAAACCTCCGAGAACGACGCTGGCACTAGGGCTCTGCTCCGGAGCTCGCGCAGAGCGCGGGTGGGAGCCGACGTCCAGGCAGAAGGCAAAGAAGAGGCCCCGCCCTAAAGCTGAGGGCCCAGTTGTTTGAGAGCCTGTGGCCGGAGCTGGACTCATAGGATTCGGGGTCCGCACAGCGCGCACGTGGTACTGCATCTTCGGCAGGCGGCGCCCCTAATGCCCAGCCCCGCCCCGCTTCGTTTGCCCAGTCTGAACGGTGTCAGCATTGAGGGTGAACGCCGAGTCGCGGCGAGTTGGTCCCTTGCGGTATAAACTTGGGGCTTGCCTAGGGGCGGTGCCGCGATGGATGGGGGCGCCTCTCCACCTGCAACTCCCTCAGCGCAGAGCGCAGAAAGCGCACATCGCTGGCCAACTGCCGCCTCCGGGTTTGAGGCAGCGCCCGAGGCAGAAAGGAGCTAAGGATTGGTTTGGGTCAAAATATACATTTCAGCTGCCAGTGGGGTCCTCTGCGCCTACAGGGCTTCGAGCTCCGGGTGACGGCTCGCTGGGGCACCATGTCCCAGCGACTCGCCACCTGGAAATACCTGGGTTGCGCTGGAATACACGATGGGTCTGTGTTCAGGTAACCTGGTGCTCGTGGTAGGGTATTACTACTGTTGTTTTGCTTTACTGCTTTTCTTGCTTTCATTAGAAATGTTATTGAAAGAAGCCTCAGAGAGCGCAGACCTGGGTCGTTTGGTTGGGTTCACTTCAACTCAAATCCAGTAATTCAATTCAGTTTCACGACTGGTTTCCAGCGCACAGGTACACATGGCGGACGTCAAGTGTATGCCGTATGCATGTGCACAGAGACGCGATTTGAAGGCAACTCTTGGAGAATTTTGAGATAAAATTCACTCTCCTGGAGTTACATTCGCAATGTATGAATATGGAAAACAGGCAGTCAGTTGTATTTAAAATTTGCCAACGTGTCCCAGCAATCCACTCTCACCTAAGAATCCAAAATGGAGCATTGAAAAGATTTACTGGCATTCTGGTTGTTTAACATTGAAAACAAGTGTAAATCAGTTTATTTATATTTCTTTTCAAATTTAACAATACCATAATAAGTTTAAGTAATAAAACCAGATTTTGCTAAAGAAAGTTTGCACGTAGGATGTTTTATTTTTATCGGTATTTATACGATGTTCTGTTAGCTCTCCTCACCCCCCTTTCTTCTATTTCACCGTGTAATGT